CAGAGAAAGAAATGCAGAGCTGAAGGAGTAGCCAGGAATTTCAGATCTAGTCCAAGGTCATTCAAGACAAAAAAAATAGATTCTTGCTATCATGCATATATAGCTACTCGAATGGGACAATGAGAAAAACACAAAAATCCTCTCTACCATTGTTGGAAATCCAAGAAAGATCTGGTACTGACTCTGTCCTAACAAAAAGGCTGCCTCAAAAGAGACCAGAAGCCATCTCTCCTTACTCCTTATGAACTAGTCTTCTTTGGCCCAGCTCCCCCCATATGGAACAACAAACCAATAAGGAAACTGTAGTTTCATTTACCCTTTTGCAGAGGACCAGATTGTGTAGTCACCAAATATGGCCCAAAACAATTTCCATTTAAACAACTTAGCTGGTTTTCCTTCCTCTAAATCCCCTGGCATGCTCCTGACTTTTATTTACGCATCATAAAGGATCATGCCTTAGTGTATACATCAAGTAACTATGATATTGTCAGTGTGTGAACCTCCTCCACTGATACAAATTACAAATCACCTACAATTTCATAGGCTTATAGGACCTAGGGCCGAAAGGAACTTTTGTGATTATACAATCCAACCCCTTCACTTTATAGATGAGGAAACTAAAGCCTAGGAAAGTTGAATGACTTGCCCAAGGTCATACAAGGAGTGACAGAGGCCATATTCAAGCACAGATCATCTAGCTCCAAAGACAATGGTTAACTGTACCATTCTCCCTCCAAGTTAATAGACTTCAAGAGTTACTTGAGACTCAGAAAGGTGAGCGGCATTTGAACCCAGGACTTTTGAACCTCAGTTTCAGCATTCAATTCACTATGCCATGATGCCTTGAGGGAAAAGTGGATGGAAACTCAGTCATCTGGCACCTCTCCCTCCTGTGCCAATAATAGTCAAGTTGGCATAGGAGTGATCATCAAAGCTACAGTCAAGCTTAGTGCTCTTCTCCCTCCTTGGCAGATGCTGACTGATGACCACATCTGGCAGTACAAAGTAGTGGAAAATAATGCATGGTTGCAAATAGTTAAAGCTTTATATAGCAAGAAGGTACAGCACTGGATAAAGAGAAAGCACAGAACTTTGTCCATGTGGCAGTCATGCTTAGTCAGAGTCAAGTGTGCCTGGCTGAGACCAAGGCTTCTCAATGCAAACTCACAGATTCACCCTAGAAGCTACTTGGTGACTCCCCAAAGAAGAGCCCTTTTGGGGGAGTTGCTGGCATTGGGCATTGATTCGGCAGAACCCATGGTGTGAGGAACAAGATTAAGCCTCAGAAATTTACTAGTCCATAGTTCAGGGAATCATAAGTCTAGATCATTTAGTCCAGCTCACTCATTTTACAGATAAGGAAACTGAGGCACAGAGAGGTCAAGTGACTTGCTCAGTGTCACCTAGGTTCAGAATCTGAACCCAAGTCCTTTGACTCCAAACCCAATGTTATTGTGCCACACTGCCCAATCTCAAGATCACCTTCTACTGCTACGACAGCCTCTCCTCATGTCATAGCTAACAGCCCACCCTTATTACCTTCACTCTGTAGCAGAATGAAGCCAGACTTGGAGCTTCCAAGAACAGTTTGTCTGTCAGCACTTATAGAGTAGTGCAGTGATTAGTGAGATCTTGGACATGAGTCTGGAGTAAACTGTTCATGTTTAGCACCTGGATTAGAGCCAAGCACCCTGCAAAAGCCCAGTCACTGTAAATTCATAAGAATTGAGAGGAGATATACTAAGTCTCTCAGGCCACTAGAATAGCTACTCAGATTAATACAGTTTTATAGGCCAGGGCTAACCGACTTCTCTATTCATGACAATTCTTCCTTAACCCTGTTGCTTTGCCCTATACTACCCAAAGGCCATAAGCTCCTTACAAGAACCCACAGACATTTCTAATTTGTAGGCCTCCTTTGAATTCTTCCCCCTGTCAGACTTGTGGCCTTTACTCCTTTGTGAGAACAGCAAAGTCAGATAGAAGTTCTTGGCCAACCCTAGCTTTCAGATTAAAAATGGAGAACATGACCCATAACAATGGCCAGGTCCTCCTTCAGGTCATGTGATCAGAAGCATCAGTGAGACACACGTATTGTGTAGGGAAAAGAGCCCTTGGGAGCTTAGCAGCAGTGATGAAGGAGGAAGCCATGCTATATACAGTGGGCAGCAGCCGTGGCTCGGCTGTTTCATCCAGTATGTGAAGGAAACAGGGCCATCAAGCAGCTAGGGGGTGCAGTGGATAGCATTGAACTTGGCATCAAGATCTGATCTCAAATCTTCTCTCAGACACTTACTAGCCATGTGACCCCACGCAAATTCTTAATCTCTCTGTCTCAGTTTTCTCATAAGTAAAATGGGGATAACAATCATACTTGTATCTCACGGTTGTTATGAGGATCAAATGCCTATGTAAAATGCTTTGTAAACCTTAAAAGTGCTATATAAATGGTGGCTCTTATTACTAATTCTAGGCCTGGAATGCTGTCCTCATCCTATGAAAGTGGCTGCTCATCCACCAGCTTAGCTGGCAACCTAGACCACCATGACTTCCCTGGCTCCAAACCACTTTGAGTTTATTTTTTAAAAAAAGAAAAAAGAAAAAACTAGCAGCCTTCACACATATACCAACTTCTTCATCCAAAGAAGTCTTCTATTAGAGGCAGTTAGGTGGCACAGTGGAAAGATCTCTGGCCTTGGAGTCAGGAGGACCAGAGTTCAAATCGGCCTCAGACACTTGACACTTAGCAGTTGTGTGACCCTTGGGCAAGTCACTTAACCCCAATTGCCTCACCAAAAAGCGCAAACAAAATAAACAAACAAAAAACAAAAAAAGAAGTCTTCTATTCCCAGTCCTCTGCTCCTGAGAGAAGCACACAGCAGGTCTACCAGAGGAAACTAGAGTTGGCGAGGATTCTCAATTTAGAGCCGTAAGGGACCACAGAAGCCATCTGGTTCACCTTCTCTCCCATTTTACAGATGTGAGGAAACTGAGGCACAGGTAATTGAGGCAAATGATTTGTCCAAGATCATACAAGTAACATGTCTCAGAGGCAGTATTCAAACCGAGGTCCTCTGATTTCAAAGCCAGTAATTTTTCCACTGAACCATGTTTTTTCCCACCGCCATACTCTGAAAATCTCAATCTTGTTCTCCATCCATGTGCCCAGGAGAAGTACGCCAGTTAGTTTCACAGCTCTTAGGTATTCCAGAGAATGAGACCATTTATGGCAAGGGAAAGGCAGGCCCTGATGGCATTGTTGAAGCAGTCGACAATGTCATGGTTCACAAAATGGAAAACGCCTATGCCTCTGGGCATCAGTGCCCAGAAAACATGTTCCAGCCTCCTTCCCCAGGAAGGAGCCCTCTGTTGTTCAAGATTTAAATAAATGGGATTTCTATTGGGAAGAAAACATTGTATTCAGTAGAAAAATAAAGACCAACCCTGGGTCTGTATGTGTTACTAGCTGTGTGAATTTAAGCAAATGACTCTACCTTTCAGGGCCTCAGTTTCCTTCTCTGTGAAATTAGGGGATAGAACCAGAGAACCGCTAAGGCTTCTTCTAGCTCCATGTCTCTAATCTGGCATTGTAATAAAGGCTCCTGGGAACTGTACAAGGCAGGGCCAGGAGCAAAACTGCGGATGAATTATTAGAGATATGCAAAGTTAGGTAAGATTTTATGTGACAGATTCTGTCTTGCAGTATTTCAAGTAACACCACCAATTCAGGTTAAACTTAATTTCCTCCTTCCTAGACTGAATTTTTCATTCCCTTTTCCTAAGTTAGAACCAGCCTGGGAAAACATACTTTAAAACAGTGGTCTCTAAACATTTTTGATCATGTAACCCTATCAGCTAAAAAGCAACTGAGTACATATCCCTAATATATGTATATTGACATATATAAATTATATATATATATATATATATATACATAAAACACATACACATGCTCACCACTGCCCTAATAATTATGTCCATTATAAACATTACATAAAACTGAAATATAAAAGGAGATAAAAATGGAATAACATTTAATTTTACAATCAATATGGAGCCACTGGAGTTTTTTGAGTAGGGACATGGCACAAGCAGACTTGTGCTTTAGGAAAACCACTTTGACAGCTGAGTAGAGACTGGATTGAAGGAGAGACTTGAAAGAGGGAGGCCAACCAGAAAGCCATTGCAATACTGTAGATGAGAGGTGGTAAGGACTTGAACTAGGGTTGTGCCTTTGTGAATAGAGAATAGGGGGTGAGCCCTTCAGAGTATCCACAACTTAGTAGTTCCCTCAACTGAAATAAGGAAGTTCACAAGAGGAAAGGGTTTGAGGGAAAATAAAATATAATCAGAGGTGTGGTACATATTGTAATCCATCCATGCTTACTCCTTGCTTGTCTGTCCCACTCAAAATTTAAAAAAGGGAAGTTGATCCTTTAATTCAGCAGTCATGAACCCAAGAATCAAGTCCACACTCTAAGGGGTACCTGCTGCAGCCAAGAATCAATCTGGCAAGTGGGGGAAGGGTATTCTGGATGAGGACAGGTTTTCACAATGGCACCTGTATAGCTGCTGCTGTGGGTATCCAAGAAGCATTTAGGTTATAACTATCCCAGGGGGCCAACTCCTGGGGCAGAAGGGGAGAAGGTTGCAAATTTGCACAGTAAGGGGAAGGGGCAAAATGGACAAATGTTAGTGTATAAAAGTAGTTATGGTTATTTAGAGGTACGTCCTATGATTGACTATCGGGGGAGGGGGGAACATGACCCATCTTCCTAGTCTTCTGTTTGGTTGATTCCATTACCTGTTGCCCATTGGTTCTGCTATTACCTACTTTGAGTCAAATCACAATCTTCCAGGGCACTATGACCTTCACTTTGGAGACCACTTCTCTAGAACATTAGTTCTCCATTTTTCACCTTTTAACCACATATTCTCAAAACATCACAGTCGCTATTGTTGTTGCCGATGATTTTGTATATTGTTTGTCCATCTTCCAGATTACGATGTGTGTTCTGAAGCTCCTTGTGAACAGCAATGCACTGATAACTTTGGCAGAGTTCTATGTACCTGCTATCCAGGGTACCGGTATGACCGGGAAAGACACAGGAACAAAGTGAAGCCTTACTGCTTAGGTATGTTGGGTAGCTACCCGAGTTTGCCACTTTTGAGGGATTTACTTCATCTTACAGAGGTACCATTGATCAAACACTTTTTGTAAGGTCTCTAATGACTAAGAATTGTACTAACCTTTGACTCCTCACCTTAAGTCTTCATCTCTTGGGGATGGCATCTCACTTGGAAGTCAACTAGTTGTGACTATTATTTGTGATTATGGAAACACCCACAATGACTCACAGACCACTTCCAGGAAAATTCCATGTATACAGCTGATACCATTTAACTATTCAATAACAAATAAACAGAGGGAAGAAGAAAAAGAAACAGCAAATTCCTTATGAAGTTGAAAATAGATGATAAAGAAAGTTTTGAGCCAGAGAACCAAATAGAAACAAGCTTGCCCTTAGATTAGCTATAGAACAGGCATCTTTAAAGGGGGAGAGACTCACATGTGGCAGGCAGGAAGCTAAGGAGGCCAACATTCTGGGCTGGGACTGAAGAAATCATTAAATCACCATCTTGTTCTCCCACTGTGGCACAAACGTATCCATGGACTAAATGCCAATGACATCATTTTCTGGCTCCCCAAGTCTCTTTGGCAAATAGCTTGTGGTCAACCACATAGGAGAAGGAGAAAGGAACCAGATTTGGAATCAGAGGATCCTGATTAATGTCTTGTATTTGTCACTTATGATCTGTGTGGTCCTGAGTGTATAAGTCATTTAAGTTCTGAGTCCTTATTTCTCCATCTACAAAACGAGGGATTAGGTAGCTTTTAAAGTTCCTTTCAGTGCTAAGTCTAGGATGCTGTGCCCCTAGCATGGTGAAACAGCTGAAAAATAAGCCAAGTTTCACTATGTAGCCTATCTTTATTATGCTTGGTTTTGCCCCCTTCAAGCTTGCTAGACTCTTTAAGGGACACTCCCTACAGAATTAGTCTGTGGTCCCTTCCACATTTGGGAGAACTGGGTTGTATTAGGTGGGCAATGAATCCCAAGCACAGGACTTCTTTTTTTATTTTTCAGTTTTGAACCTCCTTTTCTTTGCCCTACCTCCATCCCCTTAATTCATATAACTTTGGGAATCTGCAAACCCTTGATGTTGCTTATAAAGATCAGTCTGAAGCTTGTTTTCACCTGTTTCATCCTTTATTTTGACATCACCAGTAGGTTAAAGGCTCAGGCAGTGTCATACTCAGTTGGCAGCTGGAGGCAGGAGGGTAGGTGTCAGTTTGAAATACTGGAGCACTGCAATAAATATTAGGCTGTGATGTTACATTGCCCCTCAGCCTGTGCATTGCAAAAGATAAAGGGCAGGCACCTAGCCAGTGAAGCTTCCACTTTCAATGTTCTTATAACTACCTGCAGCCACTGGAGATGGAGGGATGAGGAGAAGGGCCCTTGGCAGTACATCAAGGAAGCTCCTGGAACATTCATCAGACTTCAATGTCATTAGCTTCCTAGAATGCACACCCAGCCTCAGTTTGTCCAACACATGTGCATTGTCTGAGACCCAGCATCACTGCTTCTGTCTGCTGGCACCTGGTGTTGTTTACAGACTGTATACGTGAAACTTATTCAAGTCTCTTCCCTCTCCCCACTCCTCCCCTGCCATCTTCCCATGGGTTGAAAACATTTCATTTCTCTCCAGTTCAGCAGGGGAGTGAATATGTGATGTGAATAGATGACCCTGCCTTTGAAAGCCCTGTTGACTCATTTTCAAGGCTATGAGGAGCTTGCTAGTCCAGAGGGAGGAATTTACAGGCTTCAGGTCACTGATGGGCCAAATTTCATAGGGAGAGCACTCTGCGTGAAGTCCCAATGGTTCTCAGCTTCTTTTTAGTGACAGTGATTATTCCCAGCTATGTTAACTCAGTCTTTTTTTTTTAAGGAAAAAGACATTCTAGGTTGTCTTACCCTTAGACTCCACATCAGCAAAAGAGGACATTAAAAAGTCCTCAGCATACCAGGACATTTGAAAATAAAAATTACACTAATTGAATTGCAGATAATGATAGTAAACAGATGTTGTATTTGTTTGGCATATGCTTACTTTTGAAATATTTTCCTAAATAAGTCAAGTAGTAGGGGTAATTAAACTAGGTATTATTATCTAGTTCTATAGATGGAGAAATTGAGGTATGAGAAAGTGATATGATGAGGTTTATGTCACACAGCTAACTGCCAGCAGAACCAGTCCTAGAACACACCGCTTTTGGATGTGTCCCCAATGATGGCAGTTGAAATGAGTTTTTTTTTCATGGATGGGTCCTATCTCTAGCTTTCCATTTTATTCTCCATTAGAATGTAAACTCCTTGAAGGCAAGAACTATTTTTATTTTTTCTTTGTCTTCTCAGCACTTAGCACAACACCTATCAAATTGCTGTTGTTATTGTTCAGTCATTTTCAGTTGTGTCCAACTCCTTCTGACCCCATTTGGGATTTTCTTGGCAAAGATATTGGAGTGTTTGTGCCATTTCCTTCTCAGCTCACTTTTACAGATGAGGAACTGAGGCAAAGAGGGCTAAGTGATGTACTAGTAAGCTGGTAAGTGTCTGAGTCTGCATTTGAACTCAGGAAGATGTCTTCCTGACTCCATGCCTGGTATTCTATTCACTGTGTGATCTAGCTGCCCACCTGGCAAATAGTAAGCACTGAATAAATGCTCGTTGACTGATTGAATGATTGATTGACTATCCAAAATCACATTGATTGAGGTTGTGCAAAGAATATCATGTGGACAAACACCCAACTTGACATAACCTATTCCACAGGAAATCAATTTTCTAAAACTCTCTAAATATCTCTGGACATTGGTTCAAATACAGATATCGATGAGTGTGCCACCAGCAACGAGACACTCTGCTCACAGATCTGCGTCAACACCTTGGGCAGCTACCGTTGTGAGTGTCGGGAGGGGTATATCCGAGAAGAAGATGGGAAGACATGTACCAAAGGAGACAAAGGTGAGCACCACATGGTTTGAGAGACACAGCTAAGTTCGATCTTATCTGCAGCCTCATCTATTGCAGTAAACACAGGCCCAGAGGCCTGAAATAAATTGAGAGGTGGTATGGGCTATGTTGGAGGATGAAGAATAAGTAAGATGGAGACAGGAAAATATCCATAAAAATGGGGAACAACTCATATTTGCGTAGTAGTTTAAGACTTCTAATGTACTCTCCATACATTACCTCATTTGAGCCTCACAAAAACCTTGTGACATAGATGTTGCTAATAATATTATCCTGATTTTACAGATGAGAAAACTCAAACTTTGGGAATTTAAGTGACTTGCCCAGGATCACACAACTAATAAATGTCTGAGGCAGGATTCAAACTCATGTCTTCTAACTTCTAGTTCAATGCTCTGTCCACTATGCCAGATTACTTCTCCAAACCAGAATCCCAGGACCATAATTATTCATATAAGATTTGTAGCTTTTAAGACATATTGGTAAACACTAGAACAATAACTACTTCACAGGCAGTCCTAAAGAAATATAAATAAATTTTTAAAAATAAAAATTTAGCTCCTAAAAAAATAGCTCCAAAAACTAAACTCTGTCAGACCCTCCTCCATGATAGAGTGTATATGGGTTTTTTTTTTGGGGGGGGGGGATGGGAGGGAAGGGAGCAGTGTTTCTAATAGTAGTGAGCCAAAGAGAGAGTTGGGAAGGGAAACCTCTGATGAAGAGGGTTGGTGAAAATATTTACCAGTACACACAGGGAGGCATTGTGATAGAATGCAAAGAGCATTGTTCAGGTTAAAGAACCTGGATTTCTATCCTGACTCTACTACTTACCACCTGTGTGACCTTCAGAGAGTCTCTGGACCTCTGTTTCCTTATCTTTAAAATGTGGGGTTTGGACCAGATGGCCTAGGTCAGAAGTCCCGTCCAACTCTAGCTCAGTGATCCTGTGTTTTCGGACTGATAGATTTTGGGAAGAAATTGCACACCCAGCTAAAGGAGTGCCTCTCTTCACTGAAAAGCTCACCCATAATTCAATAAAGCTTGATTATATACTTTGGTAATGATAGAGGACAGAGTGAGCGGCAGGCATGCCATATCCTCGGAGAGGATGTGAGTGAACTCTCCTGAAATATTAGATTAAAATATTAAGCATTCACATATGAGGTCAGTAACACATCTGCTGTATGCAATCCAGATGTCTGAGCTACCCAGGGAAATGAACAACCAGGTTCTTGGATTATTTGCTTATATAAACCTATCTTGATATGTTGGTTGCTAAGTGTGCAAAGGTATGCAGTGTTGGGGGGAAAACACACATAAAGAAAACTCAGGTCTGGTTTGCATATTCAACTAAACAATTCAATTTGCTTCCTGATACACTTTAAATAAGGGTGTTAATACATGTAATAAAAGCATATTTATATAGTGCTTTAAAGTGTGCAAAGTGGTTTACAGACATTATCTCACTGATCCTCACAACAAACCTATAAGGTAGATACTACAAATATTATTAATCCCCATTTTGCAGATGAGGAAAATGAAGCTCAGCAGAGCTGAGAGGCTTTCTCATCACCATACAGCTAATAAACCCAAGAGGTGGCCCTTAAACCTAGATCTTCCTAACTGTTCTATCTATTACACCATACAAGTGACTAAATACATTCTCCCAGGTGAGAAAAAATTGAAAGCAAAATGCTTTCTACCAAAAATGATTAACTCAAAAAAATTTTAAACATAAAAAAATGAGTAACTCAGATACTTAAGGATTTAAAGCTGGACCCAGAAAAAGAAGGCTACAGTGTGGCTTATAGACCATGGCATAATACCATGTTGAACCAACTTGAAGGAGTGAATTTCATTGGGCCATCAGATTTTCAATCCCATCTCCACAGTAATGTTTGCCCATGTAAAGTCTTACTCAGCAAGAGCTCTTTCAGGTGTGGGTGTGAGTGTGAGAGAGAGATGGGGGTGGGGGTTGGAGAAGGAGGTTTGGAAGATCAGAGCATACATGTTTGAAACACACTAGAATGCTAGTCATTGGCCAGTGGAGCCTGCAGAAGGAACCCAGACGTGTTTTGTATACTCCATATGACCCATAGTCTTAAGTCTAGAAGTTGCTGTGATCTGTCAGCTAAAGTCTTGGGCATCTGTTATTCTGTATCAGTTAAATCCCCAGAAAGGGAAGGTAGCAGGACCTTATCAGGTTATCAATGTGATGAGTTTTCCCTAAATTTACAGGGATTAGGGTGAAATGAAGGGAGAGGAGGAATCAGGTGTAAGTCACGTGGACCAGAGAGACAAAGGGGATGTGAAGGAGGAAGGATTACCAGTAGGAACGTGGGCAAAGCCTTGGTGACAAGTGACATAGTGACACAGGCAGGAGAAACACTTCCAGAGGCCCATACAAGCACAGCAAGTAGTCTGTGGGAGTAACAAGTAGATGATGGAGGCTCAGGGACTTGCATGCTGATGCTAATTGTATTTTAGCCTCCAGTTATCTCCTTTGGTCTTCCTTCCTAGCAATTCCCCCCACCCTATAAATCTCAGCCTGCCGGGGGAATTTTCACAGTTTCGAGAATCATGATCAGAGATTTAGACCTGTGAGGAAGAAAGAATGTCTGCCACAGTCCCTGCCACATGGGCTGAGTTAGTATTTTTCCTTAAAAATATATTGATGCCGTCTTCTAGTCCAGGAATTCTTACCTTTTTTTTGGGTCATGGACCCCTTTGGTAGTCTGGTGACACCTATTGTTCTCTTCTCAAAATAATGTTTTAAAAGGGATAAAATGAAACAATTGTATTGAAAAATAGTTATCAAAAAAGTGTTTAAAGTTCATACACCATGGATTAAGAATCCCTAATTTAGAAAATAAACTGACTCAAGGAACTAAAGGTACATATTATTAATTTAACATTGCTTCTGGGTCACCTGAGTACAAAAAGCCATATGGGGCTACAGCTCCTCTCTGATGTTTGACTGGCAGAATCCCATAGGCAACTCAGAGACAGGGGAACTGAGCTCAGCTGAATCAACTGGTGTCTTTACTGAATGTCTTTCTTAAATATCCTTCCCTTGCTATGGCTAAGTAAACCTCTTTTTGTTGATTGGTAGATAGGCTACAAGCATTTCATTTCATTTTAATCTTGAACCTAAACTACCTGATCAGCCCTGGCCTGTAACAGCAGGGAAAGGGCTTAATGAGTCCTCTACTCCAGCTCCTCATTTTACAGATGGAACACAGTGATTAGCCCCACGTGGGAAAGGAAGGTCCTCTTGGCTGGTGGACCTGGAACACAAACATTCCTCTGAATATGCAAATCACAGGGAAGGAAAACTAATTCTATAATTTCATCTTATCCATAGTAGTCACAGCCTACTTTCCATGAACTAGGGTTAGGGACACAGTGACCTCTTTCCTTCCCTGAAAGATAAATGGCATGAAATACTCATATGGATAAGGATAAGGATATTGGATAAGGAGGACAAAATGGTGGACAAATAGAAGAGACTGGTAATTTCACACTTTTTACTATGAACATAATTTCCATGGTGAAGAATGGACTGGTTAAAAAAAAGTAATAATATTCTAAGTGAGATGGTTTGTTTTGGGTATTTGCTTTCAAATTTGTTTTAGTGTCAGAAATTCCTTTCCCTCTACTATATCTTCTTCAAAGAAGCATTACATCTTACTATCTTAATAGAACTGTTTATCTTAGAGCAGGAAGGCAAATTGTTGTTGAAAGAACAATTTTTCAATCAACAAGTATTTTAAAAGAGTTTAATATGTGCCAGGCACTGAACGAAACAAAAACACAAAATAGTTCCTACTCTCAAGAAGCTTACATCCTAATGGGGAAGATAACCCACGCATAAATAGGTATGTGCAAGATACTTTACAGAATAGATACAAGGTATCGTTAGAGGGGAAGGCACTCACAGCTGATTTATGTGTAAGCATATAAATCATTATTTCCACTTGATAAATAAGGCAATTGAATCTTATAGAGGTTAAGTGACGTGTATGAAATTTAAAAATAAGTAGTTGTAGGGGGAATGGAAGCTACAATTCCACAATTAATAAATATTTTTAAGGATCTCTTAGTGCATCACTCTTTTTATTTTTTAAAATTTGTTTTATATTTAATTTATGGAATAAAATAGGCATTTCTATAGCATAGGATAATAAAAGCAAGATATTACACATGAAATTGCAAATCTATTGTGCACAACTTGCTATTCCTTTTAAGTATATAAAAAGTTATGACGTAAATTTCTTTTTTTTCCCCAAAGGTGCATCATTCTTCCACTATATTATGCTGCTTTTTGAGGGCACTAGACCAAGAGTTAGGAAAGCTTGTAGAGAGATAACTACCTTTAAAGTGTTGATAGGAAAACCAGATGGCAGATTGAATAGGCTAGTCTTGGAGTCAGGGAGACCTGAGTTCAAGTTTCATGTCTGACACATACTAAGTGACCATGAGCAAGTCACTTGACTTCCCAGAGTCCCGAGAAACTATCTACCACTATAGGTTAGAGATGAGTTACCAGTCTGCCTCAGTGGAATCTAGGAGAGCCCTAGAGAAATGAAACCAAGGTCTATACCAAAAAAAAGTATTAGGCTAATAATCTCAACTATGAAAATAAAGAATAAGAAAAAAATCTATTAGGTCGTTAATCTCAGCTATAAGAAATCTTTTTAGGGCTCATTAGAGTTGCTAAGAAGCAGCATAGATATTCCCTCTGCTCTGGAGTAACAAATTACAGTATTTCATCACAGTTTTTTTTCTGGCTAGGAGATAATTATTATTAAGTATAAACACATGTGATATGAAAGTCTTGTCTTTCCTCTTTGGTTTATTGCTTCACATTACCCAGTGTCTGCAAAATTAAAGAAGGTCAAAGGAGTTTTAATTAAACACAGCAACAGCTGGTTATTAAGGAAGGGTAAGTGGGATGGAAAGGGGGAGAGTGACCTGAATATTGTCCTTTG